GTTGTTGTTCTCCGCTTGATTTTTATTTTATTACCTCGTCTCCATAGTTACTATTTGCAAATAGTCAATAATATTGTAGGTCCATTTTATTGTTGTTCTTTCTACACGCCATTATAACACATTTTCATTTCATCATTTAATTTCTGTTGTACATATATTGTTGTATAGAAGATATATTAAAGTGATTCATCAGGTGGGAAACGAATAGATAAACCGATATGTGGTGCCATCTAGATTATCTACATTTATCAAGAAATGTTCATAAAAGTGACCCGAAAAACGGGGCTAACTCGGTAACCCGTGGCCCGATTTTAACGAAACTTGTTTTATTCTGTTTCTATTCTCATTTCATTACAAATATGGTGGTATTGTGCGCAGTTTGTGCTGTATTTAATTACAGACAAGCCCACAAACAAACAGTCTCAGAGTTTTAGTAGTATATAGATAGATTATTAACATTCTTATTTATTCATATAAATTTAATAATACATTTAAGTATATTGTTACATTGAAACTAAACTTTCGATTGAGTATTGTTGTATGTTATAACTGTTTGATACATCATTTTTTATTCTCACGTGCTTTCCTTTGGTTTGAATTTCTTTCTGTTCTAATTATTTCCTGTAAATCACCTGATGATGCTTGATTAACTCAGTAAAACGTCGTGAAATAAAAATAAAAGTTCTTCTGTCAATCCTTAAAAATACTCTTGAAATCTGTGGACCAATGACCTGTGGATACAGTGTTCTAATGTTCGCGTCTTGTTACCGCGTAAAAATAAATCATACGTATAGCACTTTGGAGCCGTGAATGCATTATAAGAGTGGTGTATTATTCGGTCAGACAAATGCAGCCCAAGAGTTGGCGGTAGGTATTGCTGACTAATTACCTTCCCTCTAGTCTATCATTTCAAAATTAGGGATGGTAGCGCATATTCTCTCACTTTTATAACTAATTAGAGACAAAGAGATTTATTTTTAGTAAAGCAATAGAAACTGGTAACTTACAACAAAGTCCACCTCGAATCAACAGTACATTAAATGCAACAGGAAATATTTAGTTACATGTAATACAATATTGATTATTCACACTCGGGTCAAATATTTGTTTAAAATACGTAATAAAACCACAGACTGAAAGCAGTATAAATAGACGAAATCAAAAGCATTTTTTAATTTCCATTTAACCTCATTATCAGTATGATTCTTGGCTTCGAATCGGTGAAATACCACAAAATATTCCTGTTCACATAGAGCTGTGGGTACGTTAAATGAGATGCCCGGCATGGCTAGATAGTTAGGGCGACCGACTCGTAATCTGCGGGTCGCGGGTTCGAATCCCCATCACACCAAACATGCTCGCCCTATCAGCCGTGGGGGCGTTATAATGTGACGGTCAATCCCACTATTTGTTGGTAAAAAGAGTAGCCCAAGAGATGGCGGTGGGTGGTGATGACTAGCTTCCTTCCCTCTAGTCTTACACTGCTAAATTAGGGACGGCTAGCGCAGATAACCCTCTTGTAGCTTTGCGCGAAATTCATAACAAACAAACGTTAAATGAGAGAAGTCAATCTTCAAATATGGATAGTGGTAGGGCGCTACTGACTAACTGCCTTCCCCCTGGTGAATCAGCATTAAGATAACGGACTTACATGTTAAAATACGGGGTTCGATTCCTTGCTCGAGAAAGAACAGACAGCCCATTATCTGACTTTGCGTTAAGTAGTTCAAATTAAGGAACGGTAAGATAGCCTTAATAACTTTGTCATTAAAATATAATACAAATATTATTTCGGGGTGAAATTTATTGCTAAAGACAGTAAGCATTCTAATACCACAATAAAACATTTTTACATAGAAGTCAGCAGTTTTCTTTACTTAGACGCCACAGTTATGTGAAAAATGAGCTTGCTACTCCTGAATGAAAGGTGTAAGATAAATTTAACACGATAAAGGTAGCGGCTTAAGTGACGAACGCAGACAGCATTTAGTGGAAAGCATTCAGTGATATTATGCGTGCGCTGAATATCTTTATACTTAAATCTATTTTTATTATTGCAATAAAACATAAATAATTTTATACTGAGAATATGTAGAAGCTTAAACATACAATAACATAATATTTTGGAACAACATGGGACCTATTGGTCCATCTCGGCTGTTCCATCCTCAAAATTAAGTTAAAATGATTAAAAGAATATTTTAAAAAATTTCAACCCAGCCTTTTTCATTAAATACTTATCAAGCTTTTTCTTAAACTCACTTAAATTTTAAGTGAGTGTAAGAAAAAGGTTGATTTAAGTTAAATTTACTGCCTCTACAACATCTGAAGGCAACCCATTCCAAAGGCCAACCACCCTGTTAGAAAAATAAAACTGTCTTAGCAGAAGATGACTCCTACCTTGCCAAAATTTATATCTGTGTTCCCTAGTCCTACTATTCTCATTGTTAACTATAAAAAAGATGATGCATTAACAGTATCAATTCCCTTTACAATCTTAAACATCTCAATCAGATTCCCCCATAACTATTCTTTTTTTTTCAAGAGAAAACAATTTGAGAGATTTCAGCCTCTCGTTGTATGACAACCCCTCCATCCCAGGCACCATTCTAGTAACTCTTCTCTGAACCCTTTTCAACACAAGTGGGGTACCTCAGGGCTCGGTCTTAGGACCTTTGCTCTTTTTGATTTACATCAATGACATAGATGAAGAGATAGTCAATAAATTACTTAAATTTACAGATGATATTAAGGTCTTGGGTGTTGCTAGCTGTGAAGAGGATGCTGCTGATTCACAAAAGGATTTACATCAATTAGTGAGTTGGGCAAATAAATGGCAGATGGGTTTTAATCATAATAAATGCAAGATAATGCATGTGGGTTATCATAATTTGAATTATAAGTATAATGCGGATGGGAATACCTTAATAGCGTTATGAATAAAAGGGATCTTGGTGTAATAGTAGATCTGTCTCTAAAGCCATCCAAGTAATGTGCTGTTGCTAGTGGTAGAGCATATAGGATTTTAGATAGAATATGAACAGAAATACTGAATACAAGTCTAAAGAGGTTATACTTTAATTGTACAGGTCACTGGTTAGGCCACATTTGGAATATTGTGTTCAGTCTTGGGCTCCTTACCTTAGGAAGGACACTGAATTGTCATTAATCCAGTTTGACTGAACTCCATTTATAATCACCCTCTGCTTTTTTCCATCCAGACACTCTTCTATTCAATTTGCTAACCTATCCCCCACACCTAAAGATATAATTTTTTTTTTACAAGCATTTATTGTGGCACTTTGTCAAATGCTTTCTGAAAGTCCAGATACACAACAAATCTACACCCTTACCCTCATCTACATAAGCAGTAATCTTTTCAAAGAATGTTAAAAGATTTGTAAGGCAAAATTTTCCCTTAGTGAAACCATGTTGACTATCCAATAAAATTCTAAACTTTGTTAAATGACTTTTAATAGACTTTCCAAAACTTTTCCACAACTGATGTAATACTAATGGGTTTATAATTACTGGGACAATTTTTGTTACCTCCCTTGAAAAGAGGAGTTACATTAGCTAACTTCCAATCCTCTGGTACCAGCCCACTATTCAAGGACTGACAAAAAAAATAGTAGTAAGTGGCTGACATATCCAATCTTTAATCTCCTTCAAAACCTTTGGGGAAATATTATCTGGCCCAGTAGCCTTATCATTCTTTAAACTTCTCAATATTTTCTTAACAAGCTCAGAATTAATGCAATCATATTGTTCGATCTCATTTCCATTTATCAACTTATCGATACTGCCTAAATCTTCATTAGTAAAAACCAAAGAAAAAGCATAATTTAATAACTCGGCCATCTCGTAATCATCAGGTACTAGCCTTCCTTTATCATCCCTCAAGAGTCCTATCCCTATCCTAACATTTTCTTTACCCTTAGTGTATTTAAAGAAATCCTAACTGTTAATTTTTACATTTTCAGCCAACCTTTTCTCATGCATCCATTTTGATGTCCTAATTTCCTGTTTCACCAACTTTCTTGATCTTCTAAATCTCCTGTCATACCAGTCAATTTAAGTTTCTTAAATTTATGATGGTTTGGTTTTTGGAGTTATACCTTTTTGATCATTATTTGGTGTACTTCATTTATAAAGTAGTTGTTAGTGGTTTGGTTGTGACTTCTTTAGAGGCTTTATTTCTTTCAATAGAAATTGAATAAAATCAATAGTATTTTTCATACTACTGTTTGTGAAATTTCTATATAAGGTTAAGAGCAATTAGCAGTATCACAGTAGTCTTTAGTAATTTGGTTGCAACCTTTTAAGTGGCTTGTCCTTCTCCCTAGTGTCTTTTTAAATTTTTACTTTTTGGATGTATGAGTGAATGCTTGGCCTTATTCCACTAGTAGAAACTACACATTACTTTTGCAGACAAGTAATTTTAAGCTTCTTACATCTGCATTACGGACTGAATACAGTATTACATTTCATGTTATGTTTCTCTTTTATTGTTTTTAAAATATGCTTCACATATTCTTGGTACAGTATTGAAAAATAGTTTTGGTGTAAAATCAGTCTTAGTTGGAGTTGAACAGGTAATACTGTAGCTCATTCACCAACATAATTTTAGGTTCATATATTTTCCTTTACCTTGTGAATATTAGTTGTGTCAGTGACAACAGTGTAGAATACCCAACCTTTCAAAACATATTTACAAAGCCTTTTGAAGGTCATATAAAAATACTCCTCAGGACCAGCATTTTCAGTCTTACTAAACATATTCATCTAGTAAAAAAGATTTTTTAACATTTTTATATTATTTCATGGAATTTTATTCACTTATGGATAGTCTGAAGTTGAATTTCTATTCTTTTGCTAAATTTTAAAGTAAAGATTAAATTAAATGGCTTGCAGGCAAGAAATCCAGAAGGTTAAAGTGGGAAATTCATAACAAGTGTCTGATGTTGATTTATTGAACCCAATATCCTGTGTAATTTTTTAGATACTCCCAGAAGAAATTTTTGAGAAGGAGGTTATATTTGTGTGGTTGATCCATTCATCACTTAATATTTTTGCTACATCTGTCACTTTGTTAAATATAAGAAATCACACTCAAAGGAAGAAGACATTTAGATGGTTGAAGTAATTTGTACTTTTAGAAATTGGAAGAAAACAATGTGTATTATAAACTCCAGAGGTAAATGGTTCCATTTTAGATCATTTTATGAGAAAAGAAACTGAACAACAGTATATCGTTTGTTTAGCAACTTTAAATAACTTGTTGTATTGCTACAGTGAATTATGTAAATATCTTTTAAAGTATTAAATTATTTGCATGCTCGATAAAGTAAGAAAGAGTATTGTTAAGAATTGAAGCTTGCTTATGTATCAAAAACATCACAATATAGCAACATTTTAATCAGGATGTGTTGAGGGAGCGAGAAGGTACTCACTCGTATGATAGAGAACGGAGTGGAGACTATTATGGCAGCAGTGACTTGCGTCAGCCAATATCCATGGATCCTTTTGGTGGTAATCAAGATTCTGAAAGAAGATTTCTTAGTAAGGATAAATTTAACATCTATTTGTTGAGTGTGTTTCTATAGAAATTTAAAAAAAAATGTGATGGGAATAGATGTAAACAGTTATAAGTAATTTGTAAAGGCAGAAAATTACCATTTGAAAAAAGGATTGCATCAAACAGGATGAATAGTCTTTGTTTTTTAAGTAATTGAAATCACTGAATACACCAGAAATACTTGATATTCTTAGCTTTATTGTACACACTATTTGGACAAAATGTGATTTTCTTTAAACACATGGAAATCTGTAGATTTAGTAATGAGATAAAGCACAATATAATAAACTGGTAAATGGACATCACTGTTACTAATGTTTAAATTGTATCTTCATCAGTCCAAGTTTTTCTTCATCTACTTATGAGGAAAATTAGAATACATTGTACTTATCTTTGACAAAAGTAGAACTTGTAATTTGAAGCAGCTGTTTTTGATATGTATGTGCATGATGTTCAGAAAGTTATTGTTTTTATGGTGAAGTAAGTGAAATGAAATATTTAAAAAAGGTTTTTCAGTTTTTTAATGCCTTGGATTCTACAGTATAACCAAGAATCGTACAAACACATTATATGTAGAAAAATATATACCACTTATTTCCTCTTTTAAATAACATTTAGTATTGTAAATTTGGGGTTTGAGATTAATGTTCTTTAATTTTCTTTCACCATTTTGAGTAAATGTTTAAGTAGTTTAGCTTGTTTTATTTTTTATTTAAAGTAAACTGTTTTTATATATATATATAATAATATGAACTTAATGTTTACACATAACTAATCTTGTAATATTTTATTTCCTTGTATAAACTTATTTCCTGCTGTACCTCTCAGATGAATTAAAAATGTAGGCCTACATACTAAACTTTAAAGAAAGAAAAGGGGGAAAGAAGTTACATTTTAATCAGTTTGCCAAAATATACAATTTCATATCTCAAAATCCTGTTTTTTGTTTCTCTGACTTTTTAGCTTGTTTTGTTTGTGAACACGACCAAATAATAGTATAAAATTTATTGTGCATTAGCCCATTACTGGCTTTTTAATATGAACAAAATCCAGGCATTGAACTTGATCAGATGCAGGCATTTTTTCATGTTGTTGTTTGTAAGTAGTACTTACTAGACAAATATTTGAAACTGCAGAATGGAATTCTGAACTGGTAATAGCATGAACAGTTATGTAATCTGTATACATATATTAATATAGCCAAATTTTACGTACTATTATTTAAACTATAGTGAAAACTGTTTTCACAAATTAAATTATTTATAATCTAATAATCACAATAATTAACTCCCCCCCCCCTCCAAAAAAAAGGACTTATTTTACTTAATGCCATTGTGGGCTAAGGAATTTTTCTTGATCTTAATTCATTCGATGTTATAATTGTAAGCCCTTTCCATAAATTATCATTTTATTAGAATTGAAAGAGTATATAAGAGTGTAGTGGAATGCCATCTGATTAATCTTTGTTGTGAAAAATATTTGCTGCACATGATTGTTTCATTTTAACAAGAAACTGTGTTTATTAAATCCTCAAGAAATACATCATGATGTGTTTCATTTTTGATATCTTGAATGAGTGAAATAATGTAATTGTTTTACTTTCATTATTGTCTTCAATCTATTTAAGTTAGTTTGAACTAACTTAAGTTTCTTAAGAGTTAAATATGTGATTAAATGTCCTCATTTAGAGTACAAGCAGCTATAAACATGGGGAGTTTAGTTTTGCCAACCCTTTTTTAGATTGTAATAGTGATTTTTCTTTAGTTTTACATAGAGATTTGGAATTGTGTCAAGTTATCCAAGGTTATAAAATTATTTCTTTGGTGTTTGTGAAAAAAAGCTGGTACTATAATAATATTCCAGGTGAACGTGAATTGCATAGAGGACGTGACATTGGTGGTCCCAGGCCAGAGGACTTTGGTAGAAATCAGGGACCACCACCTTTCTGTCAAGTCCCAACTGACTTGAGGTAAGCAAAGTCGATTTCTTTATTGAACTGCTTAGGATACAAGTGAAAATATGTATGAAGATCTTTTTCAGTTACACCAATTTTACATGTATATTGTAAAAAAATAACAATGTTATGGTATAATTGAAAATTAATTTGCATTTCAGTCTAAGGGTTGTATCTAATATGTAAAGAATGAGGGATTATTGCTACTTGTAGTATGATGCATTGTAATTGACATTATCCTTATTTTTACTTGCAAATAATTACTAGTGAGATTAATGGTTTTTTTCTTTGCAATCATATGTTAGTTAGGAAAACAAAATAAGAATATTGCTTGTTGTATTCCTTAAAATAATTCCATCACTGTGTTATGCTTATTGTATTCTTAAAATAAATCCATCTATCTGTTATGCAATGTATTATTTATTTTAGTGTTTCAAGGCTGTGTCTTATTTGACTGCTATAGTTCCATGGTTTGCTTGTTGATATAATGGACAATATTATAGATCCAATATTTCCGGAAGACGTAAAGATAACAGCAGCACCACTGATGCCAGACAGCGAATTCTAGAACGTCGTGGAGAACAACTTGGTAAACGAGAATCTCGTAGCAAGCAGCGGTCTTATGAATCAGAACGTAAAAATTTAGACATCAGTAGTGGCAGATTCAGAGGTAGGTTCTTGGCAAATAAAAGTATAAGGTTATAGTTAATCAGGAATAGACATTAAACTTTTCTTTCCTGACATAGCTACATGCTCTCACTTTTATTTGCTAGCATACCTATTACAAATCCAGTAGTTTTGTATTATCTATTAGAAGCAAAATAGGATATAAAGTAATGGTGAAAAATTCGCCAAATTAAAATAATTTTATTGATTAAACATGAAAACAACATTTTGGGCAACAGCCCTTCATGAGGTTTCCAGAATTTATCTAATAAAAGTGAAGTTATGTACTTGCCAGTTACACAATTATATCCTTATTGACTAACCCATAGAATAATGAATACAACCATCAGTGTTAACACACCACAAGACATTGGTTGTAGACTTCATATATGCATATAGACCTTTCATCCTTTTGTTATTACTAGTTTATAGGGCATTGCCTACAAGAATGTGGACAAACAAATACTTGTTACTGGCTTATAGACTTACTATTAAATACAATTTGCAACCTGTTAAATTTCTAAAAGCTTAGCATGATTTTGTATACCTTCCCCCCACATTTACACAAAAATGTAAATTTCAAATAAATTTAAAAATCTATAATTTTCTACCCTTCCATGTGTTTAATAGTGATAACATAAACTTTAGTTTAGAATCACTATTTTATGACATAATTCATACTTTATCAATGTTAATTCTTTGGATGATGAGATATATCTGATTGAGCAAGTTAGCTCAGATGGATGTAACATACAGCCCATGAGACAAATTTGGTTTGCCAGCTCATTTTGTATGGCCCATGACATGAAATTATAGTGCCTAAAGTTGAAAGTTTCTTTTTTAATATGATGGAAGTATGTTTGTCTGTTATTAAAGCTAAGAGTTTCTGCATCACAATTTAATAGAAATTTCATTAAATTGTCTTTAGAGTTAGTAGAAAACCCAAAGGGCTCATAAATTTTCAGAGGAACAAATATTATGGCCCGCCAAGTTTCAATGACATTCCAACTTGGCCACAATAAAAAATTAAGTAGTGCACTCCTGAGTTAGCTCATGCACTGTCCACATTATATATATGTATTATTCATTTTTATTTAGAGATTTATTTTAAGAGTATAATTAATTTTTTTCTGGTGATAAGGTATTTTTAAATCCCTGTATTACAGTAAAGTATCTAGCAGTAGTAGTAATAATAATAATTCATGTAAGTTAAATCCAGTGCTTTTGAGTAAGGTTTGATCAATATGTGTATTGTTTCTGCTTAACCTAGAATTTCTGGTAAGATGTAGTAATTCCTGAATTAGATCTAACCCAGAGGAATGAAGCAGAAGAATGAACAATGTATTTGAAACATATTTGAATAAAATTTTAGATAATAATCATTTGTTCATATTCATGTTGTATGGGCTTTTACTGTTATTATTAATTTTATATTTCTGCTGAGAAACATGTTGTTTTTCTATTGTTTCTTCTTCTTCTAAATACTTTTCAATTGACTGCCATTTCTTCATTTCTTTGTGGTTTGGCTTGAAACTCGGTAGGGTTATACCTTGGTCTAATATGTTCAGACATTTTTTTGCTTGGGGCCTTTTCAAGGATTTTATGAGATGAAAGGTAAAACAACCCAAAAATATTCAGTCATATTTTCAGCAATCAAGAGCTCAATATTCAAAACGCTATGCAGATGATTTCTTAAATTTTGTGTATGTTCCTTTTGTTGTAAGCTGTATGATCTGACAAAGAGTGCTAGCTCAAATATCATCCTCTTAAAATAAAAATATAAAAAAAACTTGGTGATTGTTTAATCTGTTCTCTGATTTCGATATTTTTGTCACCTATGCAGTTAACTATATATTTCTACTTGTAAAAGGTTCAGCTAATTGGTGTTTAATAAAAATGTAAAAAAAGTTAAGTAAATTTCAAACCAGTCTTTTATTATTTTCATATTCAGTGTAAGAAAGTAGTTGAAGGTAAAAATGTTTACAGTAGTGAAAAATATTAATAATGTTTTTTTTTTCTTGGATTCCAGTTAAGTATAAAAAATTCTCAGTAAATTTTGAAAAAAAAGAATTATAGATCCTTGTTTTATTTATAGGTTTTTACTAGTATTTTACTTAAAATCATAAATTTAACAGTGAACAATTAAAAAATATAAAAGTTTTCTCATTATTAACAATGTTTTCTACTTACTACTATGCTTTATAAATGGTGTAACATGGAATCATGTATATAACTTGAGCCTGTAGTAAATTATCAAGAGTATCTTTGTGGTGGGATAACATTTGTTTCACTGCTTTGAAATAAGTGGCAAAGTTCTTTTAATTCTTTCTGAAATACCTCTGGCATAAGGAATAATCAGTTACAATCTTAATTTTGTCTTCTTTTTTTTATTAAATTAATGTAGATTTTTTTTATCTGACCATTAACAAATTTGGGAGGATATTCATTTATTAATAGAGAACTGTGAATATTCTTTACTCATTCATTTTTTTAAACTACAAGGAAACTACTTGTTAACTTCTGCTACCACAGATTAGTGCACTTCAGGGTGAGGTTAATTGATGTTTAAATACTTAAGTTTATAATAAACATTCAGTAGTTTCCATTCACTGTACATGTAATCAACACATAAAGAAATACAAATGTTGTATTTTTCTTTCCAAACCATACTTACCTTTTCTCACACTAGAGCTATTACTTGAGTGGTAGGGTTTCTTCCTTTTCCCATCTAATAAGTATTGGTCTAATTTTTTCTCCCTTGCTTCAGTCTTTTATACCCCACTTAACTGCCCTTGATGATATTTGTCTCGTGATGCTCTTCACCTAAGTCAATGCACCCTCTATCCTCATACTGTATATATGCACCTCATTCAGATAATTTTATTACTTTTTCTCGACAAAAAGTCGCTAATGAGCACTAGCAACCACAAATTCAGTGTATTTTGTCTAGGTTGCAACAGGCTCTGTAGAAATGAGGTGTTTCACAAGACCACCTAGAGGCTGATTGAGTAGTATTACTGTATTATGCTGAACTGCCACTCGTGGACTATCATGCGTAAAGCATAAGGGGATCCTGCCCATCCCTGCCGATCATTGGATTGATTAAGTCGGGGTTAGTTTGTTTTCAGAGCTCCCCAATGTGCATTACCACCCATATTCTACTAGTGGAGCTAGTGAGTCCTAACCATACCCAGTTTACAGTCACTAAGGTGGTAGAATGAGGCTTTTCCTCTCTTGGAGAAATGGTAAAGTTAGGGCCCTCCTACCCGGGTCCCTAGATGTTCTTTTTTCTAGATGTCGGTATGAGAGGCACCAGGCTATGTGGGAGCCTACTCGTAATACCAGTTCAGATTTGACAATCGGCTATCTGGTTGGGTTGAGCGTGGCCCTTTTTCTTAAACAATATTGGTTCAGTACATAATTCTGAATGTAGAGTGGTCTCATCCTGGGCCCGTGGTTGAGCAGTTTGTTCCACATCTTTTCTATAATTCTGGGGGCAAGTGGAATTTACCTTGCCCACATGGTTGAGGAGTGAAGATAAGTGTTCATAATTCCAGACCAGATAAGTTCTGTTTCCTCAGGTTGAGTAGAAGGTTTGTCTACTTCAGTGTTACTTACCTTTTCGCCGTGATTTTGGTGGTTCGAAACACATTACTCTATGGCTACAGATTGGATCCACTCATAAGTGTAAATATATATAGTTATCTTGCAGTCCAATTGCCCTAGCCTCCAATGTGGGATATAGGGACCATGGTCTTATAATTCTAACCCAGAGCAGTGGAACCTTGGTTATCTGGTTGGGGCCTGGCCAGTAGTGATGATAAATCATGTAAAATTCCATCCACAATACAGGAATTAAGTTCTTGGTGAAGATCATACCTGTTCTGGATGTAGTGCAGTTCCCCTACTAGGGGTGCCAATCTTTTATTGACACATCCATGATCTATGAAGATGCTTTCTGTATGGATAATGCCCTCACTAGTCCCTCCACCTTTTCAATGTGGGATTCTAGCTGTGGTGTTAGAGGAGGTAAGTATGTTTTGAAGTTAATATTTTCTTAAATCAAAAATGTATTTCAAATAATACTTACTTCCTTTCACATTCTCCCCACTAAGAACCGGTATTAGGGATTGAGGCAGTTTCAAAAAAGTGATAACATTATCTGAATGAGTTGTTTATACAGTACCAGGATAGAGGGTGCATTGATGTAGGTGGAGAGTGTCATGAGACAAATATTGCAAAGGGCAATTAAGTGGTTTATAATAGACTAGAGCAAGCGAGAAAAAAATCAAACCAATGCTTAGATGGGCAAAAAAAGAAACCCAGCTGTAGTGTGAGAGGATGTAAGTATTATTGGAAATACATTTTTCGGTTTAAGAAAATGTTAACCTCTCAACAGTTCAATATTTTTACTATCAAAAACAAAACAAAAAATCCACACAATGCTGTTAACTATAGTTATATCTGTTGAAAACTAGTTTAAAGCTTGTTTTTCAGTTTTTACTATTAAGAAAAGTGAAAACATCTACACAATGTTGCCAAACATATGTTTTGAAAATAAGTTCAAAGGTTCATCTTTAGTTTTTTTCCATTAGTGCATTAACCACTGCGTAAAAATTTAATAAATACAGCAAAGTTTAAACCTCTGTAGTATGCTTACTTGATCTTTCATCAAATTATAGGTTGATAAATTCACTATCCATTTAGAATTGTAGATATTAATACTTTCTTCTAGTCTTTTAATTACTAAACTTGGAAATCTGCCTCGACTTAACAAATCCCTTGCATTTTTGCAAATCCTAAAGTAAAGTAAATTTTAATACAGAATTTGGCAAATATCTAATACAAATTGAATGTTAGTGGAAATCTACTTCCCAGTGTAATTGAACAGAATAGATTACCTGTGTAGTTTATAAGGAACATTTTAGCAGTGTACTTAATAACAGCTAGTATGAATTTGTTCTTGGTAATGCTACTTTGTAATTTGTTACTTCCACAGTTTCATATTACTTAAATTTATATATATTGCATGCTTTCTGTGTTCAACAAGAAGCTTCAGTTAGTCTCTCAGTTTGGACCCATATTAATGTTTTAACAGAAGGAAAAATAAGTCAAGTTTAGAAAAGGTGCACAATAACCTTGTATTGCAACTTTTTTCTTTTGATCAATTAAGAAATTTCAACTTACTAAAAGTTTTTGAGAGATTTGGAAAAAAATGTGTGTGTGTGTACATACATTTTTTTTATATATTAGAAGAAAGAGGAGCCTTTGTAGGTAGCCGTGGTCCAATGCATAGTAGATACCACAACAGGGAACGATCTCCAAAAGACAAACTACCTAATTTCTCACAACGACCTGACCGCTTCAAAGTACAGCCATGGATGGAAAAACCTGATTCCACACCTAAAGAACCAAGTTACTTTGAGGTATTCTTTTAATTTGAAATCATATTATTCTAGGTCATTAACCCTATAGAGACTGTGTTAGTGTTTTCCAACAACCCCCATTTCTGTGAAGCTATGCATAATAATGTTTATTATTATTATGAATTTACTAAGTGCATCTTCACAAATTTTGGTAAGCTTTTAGTAAACATTAAAAGTCTGTTGTACACAAAAAATCTGATATCTTAATAAGATATATTTTTCTAAAACTTTGTCTAAACTTATAGGGTCAGTTTGACTCAGACTCTAGCTAATATGAGTTAAAACTCATTATTTCATTTTTGTAGTGCACATTGGTTTATAAAACACATTTTAATACTATAAATAAATTACCTTAAGTGTTGAATGACAAGAGGAGCATAGATAGGAGCAATCTACACTTTTTTCAAAAACCAGTTAGAAAACCTCTTTTCCCTATCTTCAATTATCATCATCCCGAAACATCCAAGAAAGGTGCAGTTATTGGGGAATTAAAATAATTGATCTTAACTGTAGCGAAAAGAACGCTACATGCTCTGAACTGAAATCACTTCTTTTTGATGAGCAACGAATATCCACCTTTTTACATCCAACAAATTTTCAAGGACTGTGACACCGAAAAATCAACATTGCACCTACAACATGAGGAAATACAAATTAGCAAGAGGGAAAAAAAAATTACAATTTTGCAAAGATAACACAAAAAAAAAGATTACATTTATAGTACCTCTAATTGACTAAACTATCCCTCTCAAAAATGTAATGAAATCTGAACTGCCAATTAAAGTTGAAGAATGGCCAGATCTAAGCCTAAAAAGCCAACTTTCAAAATCTCAGTACACTACCCTACAATATAATAAAGCCAAGTGTTTTATAAAAATGTGTTTGCAATCTAAAGATGGCTGTCTTGTCTCCATTTTTGTTTATCAGCTGGCATGTAACATCTGCCATCATACGTACACTGGGGAAGTAGGAAAAACCCTACACACAAGGATAGGAGGACATATTGACAACAGCATGAAAGAAACTCAGTTGCAGATCACTTTTTAACTCATCATGGTCAAATACCTGACATGAAACCATCATTCGTTGTACAAATCCTTACCAAATACATTGACAGAAAATTTAAAGCAGCTCTTCTCATCAAACAATGACCACGGATGAATAAGGACAAGGGCTGGTGCCTATAATTATAATCAATCTGTAACTTTGATAACATATTTTATTTAATACAGATAGCTTTTAATTATTTCAACAATAAGCTTTACTAATTTATATGTCAAATGCACACAATAAAAATACACACTATAGATTCAATTAGAATTTATTATTCAAACCATTCGAAGCTTTGTACTCTCAGTTATAGTATGTGTTTTAGTGAAACGATCCTGAAGAAGCTGTATAGTAAAACATTGAGTGTCCAATTAAAGAAAAACCAATTTTGGTGTTTTAAGGTTGTTATCTTCCAGTATTAGTATTATTGCTTGATTTTCATGCTAAGAATAGATACTTCTTTTCATCTTACATATTTAATTTGCTTAACCTCCTGAATGAATATCAAAAATTGTTATTTTCTGTACCTAACACTAATTGTAGCTGAATCATTAGTGTATAGTGAAATTTAATTTTGAAAATAATGAAATAAAATTAACATACCTTTTTCTTTTAATAAATAATTTGTTTCTACAACTTGATTTCATAATTTCAACTGTTTACCTTTTCACATGTAATTTGTTTTTAATTTTATTGCCTGGATTTTATGGTGTACAGTTTATTCATGCCTGAAACACACACATCATAGTAAGAAGACATTACCAGATTCCCATACACTCACCCATTGTGCACTTGAAGTCCTGCACTCATCACCTAGTAAGCTTAGCCTTGTTAACAAAATTTCTATCCCCAAAAAGTAAATCTATCTTTAAAATATGCATTTTAAAGCATACATAATACACTTAAGTATAAAATCCAAAAATAACTATAACTGTCTTTCCTACTAAGATATAACTAGCTTATGAAATCTGAATTGCTAAGAGTAACTAAGTTTGCTTTCTAGACAAGTTACAAAGTCAAAGCAACTTGTTAAAATATCTTGATGCTAATCTTAAAAGGACTCAAACTGCAAGCTCAAACAGAATATAAGCTCTTTCTATTGTTTTATAAGCATTATTTATTATTTATCCTTCAGAGTGAAGGATAAATGGGTGGTGCTTCTTTTGTGGGTTGGAAAAATTTATTGATATCTTACTAAACAGATAATTTTGGTCCTTGGAATTGTTTATAGATTGTGTCTACATAATATAAACAGTGTAGATATTGGGCTGTTGAAGTGATTTTAACAAAATGGGGGGAGGAGGGATTGTGAAGATTGAGAATTTTTTAAATATGAGAACTTAGATAATACAAAAACTTTAATTAAGCAATACATTCAGATGTAATTTTATTGGTGCACATAAAGTAAACAACTTTTGAATGTGTAATTGGGAAACTAAACAGTCATATTGTGCAGAAGAGTCAAGTCATTGCCATAGGGTTAAGAGTCCATGTTGCTCCAACTACTGTGAATCTTGACAATACCCCTGCAGCATAATTTCCTTTGTAAAAAGCTCCATATTAAGGCTTTCCTGTCCACATCACACCTCTCCTTCCTTTCTAGAATTTAGTACCCACATCAACAGTATGTTCATACAGAAACCTGTGGATGTTTTGTATGGTGACTTGACCAGTATATTTTGGTACGAAGTAGATGAATAACTTTTAATCTCCAGTTGTTTGAGGTATGTGACATTTGAACAGATCTGTCCTGGAAGCAACTTTTGTACACACAGTTTGTGTTGTTTTTTCAAACAGATCCATAATTATTTTGCATACTGCAACAGTTTTTGGTACAGACATTTGTATTCAAGGATTCTCTCCTGTTACAAAATTTTGCTTATGTCCCAAGTTGATCTATATTCCTGTTTTTTAATACCATTAAATAAGAGGGACATCCCTGACTTGGAAATTCTAAATCCCCTGTGTGGAAACATCTTTTTAATCTTAGTGTATGTACAATTTAGATAGGAAAGGGGTTGTTGTGTACCCTTCCCAAAAGCAATCAGTTTTTGGTGAAATAACACTACCCATAAAACATTTTTATACATGACTGTATGTCATTGAAAATGGCTTCTTTGCCTGTTGACATCTCAAATTGATTTGCATATTCAAAATAATTCTAATATAACATTCTCAATCTTCTGTAGTAGAAGTGCATTTAAAGTTAAATTGTATTTCTTAAAAAAGAATGTTGTCATTATCATTAGTAGAAATTTGAAGCCAATATGACACTCAGTTTGTTTTAAATAAGCACTGGGTGTTGAAATTGTTTGGAAACAAATAGTTACTTGTGTAAATAATCTGAGCAAAACATTTTAAGTGCACATATGTTTTTTTTCCTTTAGGAATACAACAATTAGACATTATTCTTTAAGTATTGCCATTATAAAATAGAAACTTTTTTTATTTATTAGCATGATGACCGTGGGGAGTCTAGCAGAGGAAGGTTCCGAGGAGTTGGAAGAGGTTTTAGAAGTCTAGGGATTAGAGGTCGTTTTTTTCGAGGTGGTTTTAGAGGCAGTTTGAGAGGGCGAGGTGGATTCAGAGGAAGAATTTTTAGAGGTCGAGGATTTCTCTCCAAGAGTAGGTGAAAGCCTTTAAATACTAGCAACTTGAAATTTTGTTTGTTATCAGATGCATCTTAATCTACTACCATACTTATTTCCAGCACATAAAATGTATGTAAGAAGGTGTAATCAATATAGTGACATGTAACTGACCAGATTGCTTTTCTGCAATGTTTTTGTATTAACAATTAAAAAGCTGAATTTGTGAATTTCTTTGCTTAAATATGATATGTATACTGTGTCAACAGATGTTACTCACTGTAACAGTTCAGTTACTGTAATAATAAAATATTTGCTGGTGAAATTTTAGTTGGAAGTTTACCCAATTAATAAGTCTTGGTATGTAATAGATAGATAATCTATACACTACTTTGTAGGTGTATAACTTCCAGTGATAGAGCTATTATTAGTACATACTTTTTTCATTTCAAGATAATTTTAAACAAAACTGTAATGGAGTTTTTATTATTATTTCATATTGAAACAGATTAATGAAGGCTGTAAATAACGACCAAGTAATTGGGGGGGGGGGGTGTATAAGCTTCCTTGCTTAAATTTTTGTAGGCTTATCCAAATTTATAAAGTTTTTTTTAATCTGTGGCAATAGGCTGGTGTTGAAAGCAATTTGTCTTGTACATGTAAGCTTACATCCTTCAAAATTTGCTTTAGTCAGAATTGGTACTATTAACAAGGACTCATCAAGCAGGCAAAATCAGATATTTTATATTATAGTAGTTAAATTCGATGACGAGGAACCCACTTTGAGAC